TGATCTCTCAGTTGATAGCATCTCTCTCTCCCATCACCCCAGATTTGCTTTGGATTATTTTGTGTATACTTATTTTGTATATGCTGATATATACCTGTCTCCCTCTGTGGAAGCTCTTAATAGCAGGGGCTGTTGGACTTTTGTTTTTGTCTCTAGCCTAGTAAATACTTAGGGACCGTTTGTGGTTTGATGATAGGTGCAAGCCTGCAGAGTGCAGTTGATTGAATTCTTTAAGTATGCATTAAATGCTTTGGTTATCTGCAAAGCAACGAGAGGAGATAGAAATTGTAGATAAAATAAGTCCCATTGAACTTAGCCCTTAATGGGTTGTTGTGGTATATGGTACAAAATAAAAATGTTAGAATGAGAATTATCTGGGAGTTGCCTTTGTATGTATTTTATGCAGTATCTAGCCTATGCTGGGCAATCAGTAAATGTGTAGTTCTTATCATAATGATGATCACACCACACTTTTTAAATGGATTTACTAACAGATAAAATAGTCCTGTACTCAAAGCTGGGTAAATGTTATACAAGATGATTCAGAAAAGAGGTGTTTTTCTTTCAATATCTTATAAAAATGAGTAATAGCCTGTCCCTTCGATTACTATGCTTGAACTCATACTTTGGGCAATGCTTTGGGATGTACACATACATTCCTAAGATGTAAATGTTCCTGTCAGCATTTAGATAGTATTCAAAACTCTAAAGCAAAGTCATATACTCTGAGGGGCACCTTTGATGTTAAGAAGACAAGTCTTCACATCCCACCTCAAAACACATATTGGATGTATGATCCTGGACAATCACTTAACCTCTCTCTGTGCCTTAGGCAACTCTTGAATAATATAAGTTGTCATAGAGTTGTATCAGTGTGTAGCAGGGCAAGGAGTTTTCCCCACTAGGATTTCTCTACAACAGTGAAATCTCAGGTACACACACACACACGCACATGCACACACACGACACTGCTGTTGATACTTTGTTAATTTTTTGTTAATTTTGGCATGTTTATGAGCAGTTTTTTTTTCTGCCAAATATAAAATGGATAAAGATTTGGAAAGGAAGGGACATTTCTATCAGATGTGCTTGAAAACATCAACTAGTGAGCTGGCCCTGATTTTGACAACATAAGATCACTTAACAATCTCAATGAAGGATATGACAAAAATGAATTTTTATTCCTTACGTGCTCCTTGTACTCAGGTATACCACAATATAAATCCTGTAACTAATCATGTAATATGTTAATGGAGGAAGGAGCAAAAGAACTAGGCAGTCAAAAAACATTATGTGAGACACACACTGTTGTACATTCTTTAGCAGAGAAGATAGGTCCTAAGTTCTCTCAAAATAGCAACTTCCTAATAAGTTTATTTAGACAGTATAGAATTGTTCATTATGACTAATGATTTTAGGAAGAATTTGGCAAGCCAGAGTTCCTATAGAGCAGGAGCTCGTAACTTGGGGTCTGTGTACTTTTTATAGACAAATAACTGTATTTCAATATAATTGGTTTCCTTTGCAATCCCATGTATTTTATTTTATGCACTTAAAAGCATGATTTTAAAAGCATAGATTTCACCAGACTGACCACCAGAGGCATTCATTGCACAAAATATATTAAGAACCACTGCTTTAGAGGACAGCATCCCAAATAATAAGGGGACTCAAAACCGTGTATATGAGATTGGTCGAGGGAAATGGGGATGCTTAGCCCTACATGTAGAAGACAGTTGTGGGACAGAGTAAATTGATTGCTTCCTTAAAGTGTTGTAATGTTTGTCCAGTGGATAAGTTCTGCTCAGCCCCTATAATTCAAGTTGTAGAATGTAAAATAAAAGAAACAGGTCACCTCACTAGGCAGCGAGTCTGGCCCTGGAAATTTCCAAGCAGAGACTAAAGGACTGCTTGTTGGGAGTGTGGTAGAGTTGGGGACTTCTCCATGGCGTCTGGGGTCTCTTTCAAAGATTTCATGGTTCTGTGAATTAGGATATTTATTATTGAATTCTCTCAATTAAACTAATAACTCATTTAAGCCATTTTATTTCTTTAGGGACTTGCTAAGAAAATTATAGATGATTTTTTTTTTCATTTTAGAAAATTAATGTCTCAGTGCTGCTGAATTATGTGACCCGAATTCTTCTCCCTGTGTTTTGTTTTGTTTTAGAGGTAGGGCAGATGAGTAAAGTGAGTTAATAAAAGCTTTACCCAGGGAATTTTCAGTACTTAAGAAAAACTTAAACCTCTGTTATGATTTCTATGTATAAAAAATGTGTTTAGAAGAAACGAATACTGTTAAAGCACAACCTAGGCTTGTTAAGCAAGGTGGTGTCGATAATGTATCTTTGTGCTCAGGCTTAATTTTGGTGAAAACTTTTTCAGAAATATCGCAAATTGGGGAAAAGTGATAGTAAGATGTATTTTTTTTTTTTCAAGAAGGGAGAAAATGGCAAAATAAGGAGAATTCTGTTCTCTTTCATGTTTTCAAGTTAAAAGGTAGGCTTTCCTTAGGGCAGTGTGTATTTGATCACAATCAAATGATGAATACTTTTTTTAAGAGACCTGACACAACTGTAAAGCATTGTCAGGCGTAAAGAATCAGTCCTAGCTAGCTGCCTTGGCTACTTCTCGAGTCCTTCTGGTTCTTATCCCTACCCATTCTCAGAGTCTGAGGGTAAAAATAAGTTGGGCAGCCAATGAAAGTTTTAGGGAATGCAGCATGGGATATGTAATCAAAGAAGCGTGCCTGAATTCTAATGCCATACTGTTCTGCCCCACCACTCTGTGATCCTTCAACATATCACCTGCTCTTTCTGTGTGTTAGTTTCTTCATCCATAAAATTATAGGATTACTCTACTGTATGATCTTGTGTCTCTTACACCCAGTGATAAGTTTCAGCAGAGCAGGCTAAACTAAATGGAAGAGCTGAGCGTGAGTAACTAAAATGTCTGTAACAAAAAATGTCTGTTCTGTGCTTGTGCTTTACGGTAATTCTTGAACTTCTATGTGGTTCAGAGGGTCATTTTTTAGCCTTGTTCTAGATCCATGATTGCTGTTCAGTGCTTTTTAAAAATACCATAACATAATCTTGATATTGTGTTCAACTGTTAGGTCCTTAATTTACTCAGAATGTTGTTTGACAAAGAACCTTTTCCAGGGCAGTAAATATAAGGCTGCTCACTTTAAAGTAATAAAGGAGTTTACTTCTAGTTTTATCTATAGGACTTAGAAGTAGGGGACAAAATGGTGTCATTATTTGGAGACTAACCTGATAATTCACCCTCAGCATCATTGACACCTGAAAAGCGGAAATGGGAAGAAAATGTTAAAATGTGTTTTTATTATTGCTTATTTTAATGAATTTGTCAATAGCAATTTTCCCATTAATTAGTATCAGTATCTAAAAATATAGGGTTTTTCGGTTCTTGGCTATTCTTCTGACCTTCCAGAGTTTGAATCATTTTTCATCTTGAATTATTCCATCTTTGGAGTTGTGATACTAAGCTCTTCATAGACTAAAAGCCACAGTTTTCGGAGATCTTGTTCATTAATGTCTTTTAAGTGTTTTAAGATCCTTAAGTGGAAAAAAAAAGTCACAAGTTTGTTATCATGAGACAAAATACAAACCACAACCGTGAAGACTAATTAAGTTTGTTTTTTTTTTTAAGAGAGAAGAAGTTTCTTGGTTTTATTACTGTATTAATCTTTGCAATGTTTGTTAACAGTTATTACAAAGACAGACTTGCTGCAGGACATTTGTAAAAGTGTATCAGATTTGATTGTTTATCCATCTGTATTCCTAGTGAAGTTCTATGTTTCTTAATATATTCTTCATCATAAAAGGGATGTCTTGCAAGCAGTGTTTTATTTTCTCTCTGAACATCCACTTGCTCATTCCTTTTGGCTTTCAAGTGAAACAGATCAATTTCTACTTTTAAGAATAGTCAGCTTTAAATTGCTTTGAGGAAGAATTCCATGCTTTGATCTACTACTTAATGGTGATTGGATAAATTGTACATGCACATAATGTGTGTACACACACACATTGTATTAGTGTGTACATCTATATAGAGATAATTCCTCTAAATATAGACATATATGAGAGAGAGATATAATTTCTTTACGTAAATATAGAGATATATAAGTACACAAACACACACACACACACACACACACACCAATCCACTTCATGCCAGATCAGTCACATCACAGATATTTCCATAATATGAGGAACTATAATTCCTTGCATAATCAAGTCTGTGAGTAGGCTAAATCATGAATGGGTTATACGTTCTTCATGTATCAAAAAATACAATCTTAAGACAAATGGGAGTTTTAAGAGTGGTAGGATCCAGTAAATTTTGTTCCTTTTCTTCTTCAATAGCATACTAGTTTTAAAATCTTTTCTCAAATTCAAAACCTCTTAATTTGAAAGGACAGTCACAATAATTTTATAGCATTTGCTTATCAGTAAAATTTTTTCAATACCATAACAGCTTCTTTCTAATGCTTTTGCATGTTTCTAGTTTACTAATTCTGATCAATTCAATGCCATAACCGCTATAATTACTATATTGTTATACAATTGTTGTTATCTCAACTAAGGCATAAAAACATGTAGTTAATGTACAGAATTTATATTAAAGGACCAACATCTTCTTCCATTGCCCATCAGTTTGTTTTGTTCAGTTCCTTAAGGTCCAAATGCTATGATCTGATGCATGTGACTGACTCCCTTTTGAGTAGCTGGGAGTTTTATACCCATATCTAAACGTAGAATTTGACCCAGAGCCATTTCAAAATACCAGTAGTTATATCTTTAGAAAATTTCAACAATATTAATCTAATAGGATACCTCCTCCTGCACTTTAATTTGGGGCCATAAGAAATGTGAAAAGGTAGTGCCAAAATTTAATAAATATAAACTCTTAAGAAATGATATCTTTTCATTGAAGTTGAAGAAACCTTTTCCAACGTTGTCACACACCATTTTCAGATAACAGTAGTGAAAAGCTGAGCCCAAGACCAGGGGCAGGTGAGCCAGTTTTAAGTTTACACTACAGCACAGAAGGAACAACCACAAGCACAATAAAACTGGACTTCACAGATGAGTGGTAAGTTCAACTTTTACAAAAATGTTCTTTGTCATTCTGAAGAATTGTTTCTAAAACTGACTTTAAAATTGGTTTGGTTTTGTTTTCCCTTGTTACTGAGTAAGAACCTCATTTTCTAATATTATCTGGGAAGTAGATATTGTAAGTAAAATTTCCAGGCATCTGCAACTTACTATTTACATGCCAGAACATTTTCATTTTAACCATTTTTGATGGAAATATTTTTCAGTAACCTAATCTTGATAAGTCATTCACCACTTAGAAACTGACAGTGGCTCCTTGTAGCCTACCAGGCAAAATGTAAGTTCTTCAACATGGTGGCTTTCACGTTGTTGGCCCCATCCCTTTTTTCAGAATTATCTCTCAATATTCCAACCACAGTCAATGTCAATTAACTCATTATTCCTTAAACATGTCCAGTAATTTCCTGCCATTATTCCTTTGCTCATACTGTTCTCTCAGTCTGGAATGCCTTCTCTCTCCAAATATATACTTGTCAAAGTCACTTCAGCTAAAATGCCACCTCCTTTGTGAAGCCATATGGTATTCTTGCAATCAGATGATATTTTTCTTCACATAACTACCCATTGTACTTTTTTGGTACCTTTTTATGGTGTTTTTAATAGCTTATCTTATGCTATATAATTATTTCTTTTGACCCTTATACCTGACAAGAAACTCCTTGAGGGCAGGAATCCCATCTTATTCATATTTGTATACTTGACAGTGCCTACCACAATGCCTTTCAAATAGTAAGTGCTGAACACATTTACTTAATTGTATTTAACTATTTTGAATGTCAGTGATTGTACTGTGATGTAATGAAGTTAATATGAGAGAGAAGTTTCTCTCGAAGGCTATGCTGGGGAGCACAATCTCTGGCAGGTCCTACCAAGTAGTAAGGCCTTCCAGTACTCTTTAGACTATCTTCTAAAAAGGTCGAAAAGTTGACATCTTCATCAGTGAGAGGTAAATACCTTCACTGACAAATCCTTGAAATTTTGACATATTTAATGAAGGAATAATTCTGGTATTCAACATTAAGGAAAGAAGCTCCTAGATGTGATCGAAGAATGATTAGCAATAATAGTATAACATTCTTTAGTTGCTATATCCATATGCAACTATAAGTTCTCCACTTTATAAATTTTTCAAATATGATGATATAGATATTGAACATTTCTAGAGATCCATATTTCTCTGCCTCTAAATTTTCTCTCTAGATTGTTAAGTCAATGGTTTGGATAATGCAGGCAGGTTCTAGCCAGAGCATCACTGCATCACTTAACTAGGCAGTCTATTCAGGTTTTCTACTATGTTGTGATATAGCACCAGAAGATATTATTTCACTCTATGTCAGTGGCCTCTCCATGGGTTTTTTAAAGGTCTAATGCGTGTGCATGTACATGCATAAGCTCCTGTGATAAAAGATGTTAAAATCTAATATTAATGAAAAACTTTTAAATGACCCTTCTTAGGTTCTTACACTGTTTTTAAATAGTTTAAGCTAGCATGAAAATCATGACCCTTGGTCTTTAAACCTAGATTGTAGCTCAGAACATTTTTATTCTAGTTTCTTTTCTGTACTTTTTGCCATCATCTTTACCTTGGTATCAGTTAATCACAGGGGTTGATTTCTTAAAAAAGAATCATTTAACTTCTGGATCGTGTGATCAAGATGAGGGGCTAGACATTTTAGTTGACCCTTATGACCTTTCAAAACTCTGCAAAATGGGAGTTAGGTAGCTGAATAAATAAAGATAAATAGATAAAGCAATTTAAATTATCCCTTTAATAGAGGATACCGAAGGGGAAAGAAAGGGAAAGATCTTTTTTCAGAGTTAGGAGAAGGTACTACTGATGAATGCTTTTGTAGAGGAAGAAAGATGTTCTATAAAGGGAGATGGGATCCTTGTTATGGGTGTAGTTTGTAGGAATTTAGTGTGTAGAGAGAGACCATTCATGAAAAGGGGAGTCAGACATCCTGGGACCAGGGGCAGGGAATGACCATGGGAAGGGCAAAGCTTAATAATAAACTGAGAATCAAGGACATAGGACAATTCCTACTGTGGGCCAATATCCTCCTTATTACCTGCAAGAATTGATATTTCTAAGAGTAAGGCATAACAGAAAAAAAATGTAAGGGGGTAAAATGTACAAAGCAATAACATAGAAACTTTTTAACAGAGGGAACCCAAAATAGGTACCTTAAAAACTTTAATTCCATGAGGATTATGGGGACTAAAGAAGGATCAAATTAGTATGAGGGTCATGAATCAAAGAATAAATGTCTAGAATAGATAGAAAGGGAAGGTAGATAATGAAGAGAGTAAGGGCAAGAGATTCTTCTTATAAAAAGGCACAAAAAATGAAAATTTAAGGGGAAGAGAGGAAGGGGGATTTCATTTGACTCCAAAAAGAAAGGTGGAATTAAATAACTATAGATAAAAAGAAAGTAAAAGGAGTTAATACGTAAGTTAAACAAATCTAGGGGAAAGGATGACAAATGGGGCTGAGGGAGAGGGATGACTTGAGGGTGAGAGGAAGAGAGCCTGTGGGTATAAGGTTGCCTTAAAGTAGATTAAGCTAAAATAATTTGAAGAAACAAAATATTGTCTTTAAAGAGGAAGGGGGCAGGAGATCCTATTTTGGAGAAAAAAATATTAGAGACATGGAGAAGAATACAAACCTAACTCATCACTTTAATTGTGAATGCATTAAATAATCCAGTAGGATGAAAAAGAGTGGCAGACAGAATAACAAAACAAAATCTACAACCTGTTGCTTACAAGAAACACACCTGTAAAGCAAAGACATGCAAACAAAGAGCAGAGGCAAATTTATTATTCATCAGGTAAATCCCAAAAAATATGAGTTGCAGTCATGCTGTCAGACAAAGCAAAAGCAAACATTTACAAAATAAAAAGAAATTAACAAGGAAACTACATTATGCTAAAATGAATCATAGATAACCAGCCAATATCAATATTAAACTTATTTGGTCCAAATGCTTTAGCATTTAAATTCCTAAAAGAAAAATTAGCTGAACAACATAGTAATAGTATGATAGTGACAGGAGACTCAATATCCCTCTCTTAGTTTTGGATAAATCTAACAGAAAGATAAAAGGGCAAAAATAGAATTGAACAATTATCTGGAGAATCTAGAATTAAAAGACTTACAGTGCCTTCTAAATGAAATTGTAAAAAAATGTTTTTCTCAACACCACATTGAAAACCAGAGTAAAAAGGCAGAAACAGTAAATAGTAAATATAACATTTATCAACCATAACAAAATAAAAATAGCAATCAGTTCAGGAAGTACAAATAAAAGACATGTACCCAAATGAAAACTTAACAATGAAATCCTAAATGATGAATGGGTCAAAGAATAAATCTTAGCAACAATTAATAATTATATGAAAGAAAATTACATGAAAAAACATACTGAAATATTTGTGATGCAGCTGAAGGAGTCCTCAAGGGAAAAATCATATTCTTACAAATATCATCAGTATAGAAAAAAGAGAGAATTAATGAATTGAATATGCATTTTTAAAAATTAGAAAGCCAACAAATAAGCAAACCTAAAATAAGCACAAAAGAGGAGATATTAAAAATTAGACAAGAAGGAGATAAACTGGAAACAAAAACCTCTAAAATAATTATAAAACTAAAAGCTGATTCTATGAAAAAGATAAAAAAAATTGATAAACCGTTAGCCAATCTGATTAAAAGGCAGAAAATCAAATCAACAAAATAGCAAGTGAACAAGGTGAAATCACAACAAAACCATACTTAATAAAAATAATCATCAGAACTACTGAAGAAAAATCCTGATCCTGATAGACTCATGAGAAAATTCTATTAAACTTTTAAAAAAAAATTAGTAATAATTCTACCCAACTTATTCTTTAAAAAAAAAAGAAAAAATCCTACCAGACTCCTTTTATGAGAGAATATATAGCCCTAAAACCTAAACCAGGAAAGGATAAACACAGAACCATAGACCAATATGATTAGTGAATATCAACTCAAATATTTTTAAATAAATACTGTCAGACTATAGATTCATCTTGACCAAGATGGATTTATGCCAAGAATGAATGCAAAGATGGTTCAACATTAGAAAAACAATCAACATAGTCATGTTAGAAACAAAAACATTTGGGGACGCAGCCAAGATGGCAGAGTAAAAGCAATGACTTGCTTGAGCTCTCCCCCAAACCCCTCCAAATACCTGTAAAAAAAATGGCTCTAAACAAATTCTAAAGCAGCAGAACCCACAAAGAGACAAAGTGAAACAAATTTCTAGCCCAAGATAACCTAGATGGTTGATCAGAAAGGTATATCACGCCAGGCTGGGAGAGGAATGCAGTTTGGCATGGGCTTATAGGCCTCAGTAGAAGGACTACCTGGCAAAAGTGGATTACCTGGAGCAGGCCTCAGAGAACTGAATCACGGGCAACTGTGGCAGTTTCCAGACTTCTCAACCCATGAACATCAAAGACAACTTAGGTCGGTAGGAAAAGTCTGTGTCTGCTGTGAGAGAGAAGCACAGGGTCCCAGCCCCAGTCCCCGAGTGCAGCCCCGAGGCAATGGCTGCTTCCAGAGCTTCTGGCCCACAGACTGAGGGGGAATCCAGTGGCTGATCAGATGCAGGGATCTCTTTGCTGGTGCAGGATTCTCTTGTTTTGCCCATGCTTGGATCTGGGTCACAATTCTGGGTGGCAGTCCTGGGACAAGGAGGAGCACTGGTGTGGTGGAGCTTGTAGTGGCTGGGGAGAGAGAATCCTCCTCACATTTCCAAGACAAAAGAATGCTTGTGGTCATTTCATAGACCAGAGCACAGGCCAGGGAAAGAGTAAACACCTCACCCTTGATCACCCCTTAGAAGAACTGAAAATTTCCAAGTCCCTAGAAGTATCTCTGAAAACAGCTGCACAGAACCCCCGAAGCTTGGGACAGTACATTCTCCACATTGGAAGCAGACTCCTACCTTAACAAAGAGTTTATAACTCAAGTAATTGGCTGGGATCCTGAGCAAGCAACACAGAAAGAGTCAGACCATAGAATCTTACTTTGGTGACAAAGAAGATCAAAACATACAACCAGAAGAAGACAGCACAATCAAAGCTCCTATATCCAAAGCCTCCAAGAAGAATATGAATTGGTCCCAGGCCATGGAAGAGTTCAAAAAGGATTTTGAGAAGCAAGTAAGAAAAGTAGAGGAAAAACTGAGAGTGGTGCAAGAAAATCATGAAAAACAAATCAACAGCTCCTTTAGGAGACCCAAAAAAATACTGAAGAAAATAATACCTTAAAAAATAGTCTAACCCAAATGGCGAAAGAGGTCCAAAAAACCAATGAGGAAAAGAATGCCTTCAAAAGCAAAATTGGCCAAATGGAAAAGGAAGTTCAAAAGCTTACTAAAGAAAATGCTTCCTTAAAAATTGGAATGGAGCAATTGGAAGCTAGTGACTTAATGAGAAATCAAGACACTGTAAAACAAATTCAGAAGAATGAAAAAATAGAAAACAATGTGAAATATCTCATTGGAAAAACAACTGACCTGGAAAATAGATCCAGGAGAAAAAATTTAAAAATCATTGGACTATCTGAAAGCCATGATAAAAAAAAAAAAAAGAGCCTAGACATCATCTTTCAAGAGATTATCAAGGAAAACTGCCCTGATATTTTAGAACCAGAGGGCAAAATAGAATTTGAAAGAATGCACTGATCACCTCCTGAAAGAGACGCCCAAAGGAAAACTCCTAGGAATATTGTAGCCAAATTCCAGAGTTCCCAGGTCAAGGAGAAAATATTGCAAGCAGCCAGAAAGAAACAATTCAAGTATTGTGGAAACACAGGATAACACAAGATGTAGCAGCATCTATATTAAGGGACCGCAGGACTTGGAATATAATATCACAGAGGGCAAAAGAGATAGGATTATAACGAAGAATCACCTACGCAGCAAAACTGAGCATAATCCTTCAGGGGGGGAAATTGACATTCAATGAAATAGAGGACTTTTCAAGCATTCTTGATGAAAAGACCAGCGCTGAATAGAAAATTTGACTTTCAGATACAAGACTCAAGAGAAACATGAAGAGGTAAACAGGAAAGAGAAATCATTAGAGACTTATTAAGGTTGAACTGTTTACATTCTGCATGGAAAGATGATATTTGTAACTCATGAGGCCTTTGTCAGTATTAGAGTAGTTGAAGGGAAAAAATTATATGTATGTGTAGATAGATAGAGGGCACAGGGTGAGTTGAAGATGGAGGGGTGACATCTGGAGAATTAAGGGGTGAGAAAGGATTATACGGAGAGAAAGAGAAAGGGAGAGGTAGAATGGGGTAAATTATCTCACATGAAACAGACAAGAAAAGGCTTTTATAGTGGAGGGAAAATGGGGGAAGGTGAGAGGCAATGAGTGAATGTTATTCTCATCAGATTTGGCTTAAGGAGAGAATAACACACACACTCAATTGGGTATGGAAATCTATCTTACCCTACAAGAAAATAGTGGGGTAAGGGGACAAGAGAGCAGGAGGATGATAGAGGGGAGGGCAGATTGGGGGAGGGGGTAATCAGAAGCAAACACTTCTAAGGAGGGACAGGGCCAAAAGAGAGAATAGAATAAATGGGGGGGCGGGATAGGATTAAGGGAAATATACTTAGTTTTTCACAACATGACTATTATGAAAGTGTTTTGCATGACTACATGTGTAACATGTATCAAGTTGTTTGGCTTTTCACTGAGAGTGGGTAGGGAGGGAGGAAAGGAGAAAATTTCAAACCCAAAGTTTTAAAAACAACAGTTGAAAAAAAGTTGTTTTCACATGCAACTGGGAAGCAAGATATACAGGAAATGAGGTATAGAAATCTATCCTGCCCTACAGAAAAATTGAAGGGGAAGGGGATAAGAGAAGGAGGAAGAGATAGAAGGGAAGGCAGATTAAGAGAAGGGGTATTCAGAATGCATGCCATCTTGGGGTGGGGGGAGGGATGAGATGGGGAGAAAATTTGGAACTCAAAATCTTGTGGAAGTGAATGTTGAAAACTAAAAATAAATAAATAAATTTTAAAAATAAATAAAAGAAATAATCATAAAAAAGAAAAAAAGAAATAAAATATTAAAAAAAGAAAAGAAAAAAAAAAGGAAACAAAAATATCCAAAACACAGAATTAATTCCATAGATACAGAAAAGGTCTTTGATAAAGTACAACACTTATTTATATTGAAAACCCTACTAAATGGAAGGCTTTTAAGGGGCCTCTTTTTAATATTATGAAAAGTATTTCTAACACCAAGAGCAAACACCATATGCAATGATTATATGCTAGAACCTTTTCAAGTAATTATAGGAGGAAAACAAAGATATCTAATCTTTATGGAACTGTTTGTGATTGAATTTATGTAGGTATTTTATATGCTTTGAAAATTGATCCTCAGATATTTTATGCGTTTTGTAGTTATTTGGCATAGGATTCCCCTTCTTATTACTGTTTTGATAAAATAATAGCAATCCATTTGGAAAAAAATAAAATATCTAGACATTCAAAGGAAATGATGAAAAGAGATTGAGGTTAAGGGGAAATAGCACTTCCAGACCTCAAACTGTAGTAAAGCAGTAGTTATCAAAACCATCTGGTATTGGTTAAAATTAGAGAGGTAGATCAATAGAACAGACTAGACAAGGGAGAATCAGAACAATGGAACTTAATAACTCAGTGTTCAATAAACCAGAAAATAAGAGTTATTTAGGGAAAAAACTCCCTATTTTCTTAATAAGAAAGGGGAAACTGGACAGCCATCTGGCAGAATTAGGATTAGCTCAACACCTTATACCATATTCCACATAAGAATGTGTGAACTTAGTTTTAGAAATCATACTACAAAAAACTAGAAGAAAAGCAGATCATATAGGTGCTAAGCTCTGAGTACAATAATTGATGCTCTAAATGATGACTTGGGTCACCAAGAAAAGGTTAAATTATATTGAACATACTTGAAGAAAGTCAAAAAAGTATTGAATATTTTAAGAAAAATTTCATTAAGAACAAAAGTAACCAAAATTTTGACACTTAACAAGTAAACTTCCTATATCTTCAAAATTCATTTATGTGTAACACCTTAGTGATAATAGCTCCACAGATGTTACTTTGCTAATTGTGTAAGTGATGCTTTGAAATTATTTCCAAACTCATTTTCTTATATCTCTTCATATTGAGTTGTTGGTTTACCTAGATTTGAGAATAACACAAAGGATTGATCCCCCAAAGGGAAAAGTCAGAGGTATCTGTTAATGGAGGAAACATGTTCCCATATTTTAGTTTACAAGGGCCAGAAATTGAAAGCTAATGGCTCTCCCCAATTAATAACAGAAGCCTACACATCAGGGAGGGGAAAAGGGTACATCGGCATCACATGATGTACATGGAATATCTTGACCTCTTTCTTGATTTGTAGATGCCCTAAAATAGGAAGGACACTAAAGGCTACTGTGAAAAGTATTGTAAAAGTGATGTGTAGATATGATTTACACCCGAGTATTTTACCTATGTCTCTAATTCACTTTAATATTTGGAGGGGGGTGCTTCATTAATATAGACATAAAACATATTAGCTTTTATATTTAAAATCTTTTTACAACAACTTGGCAGAAAATTAAAACAACAGTTTTCTATTAAGATATATATACTTTAGTTATCTCTACGATCATTGTGCTGTTTTTGTTGTTCATATTTACTTCCAAATATAAAAAAGAACTCTATCTCATCCATTATCAAATTATTTTAGAATATTTCATTTTATTCTCAAACATAATGTAGATCCCTTAATACTAGGTGTACTTTTCTGATCAAAGAACAACAGAAGAATATTTGTAATAAAGTAGTGAATCTTATCCTCTCCTTCCCCAAAAGTATGATGAAGTTACACCTCAAATACTTGGTGTAGTCCTGCTTGTCACATCTCAAGAAAAACATAATCCAGCTAGCGGAGGGTCCAGAGAAGGGCACTTATACAAGGGTTTCTGTGCCAAGATTGACTCAAAACAGTGAGACTCTTCAGCCTGGAACAGCAAAGACCGATAAAGTGTGATTTTTAAAATCTGTAACATCAAAGGGATAATGGATAGGTTGAGCCATTTGCCAGGGGCAGGAGAAGGGAGAAAAATAATGCAATTATTTTACGTCCAAATTCAGTAAAGATGTATCAAGAACTGGTATTTGATTTTTTTTTTTAAACAGGTTCCAGGAATGTAGTCATCTAGATTTGACAGGGGAGTTAGTTGCAGAGGGAAGGGAACATTATGACAACTTACATTATTTCTTATTGCTATGTGGCTTAGATCATTGAATTTAGATTCAAAAGTAAGCTTGGAAAGTTTACCCTTTATAAGCCCAGTTTAAAAACAGAGTCCTTTTCTGCGATTATACTCCACACCTCTGGTTTCTATTGTAGTCGCTTGCATTAAAAATGATTTTGAAAGCACCCGATACTTTATGATCCCATCCCTTTGAGTCACTCATGGTCTCTTCTGGGGGCAGGAGCAGCACCGCCTCAAGTTCTAGAGGAAGTGGGAGCCACAGCAAGCCTGAGGAACAGGACGCATCTCGGGGCCTTCCGAGCCCTTCACAGCCACAGCCACAACTGCAGCCTCCAGGCAGGGAAGCCAGTAAGAATTGTTTTCTGTTGTCCTAAAAGTTTTCAACCGAGTCACTGAGTGGGGAGCTTAGACAGGCCTCATGTCATTTGGTCATGCCTGAGGCTGAGGGAAAGCAGACCAGCAGCTTCTGGGAGTTTTCCATGTGCCCAGGTCCTCTCTTGTTTAGAGCAGAGGGGGAACACTGAAGTAGGGCTAGAAATAAACTATTAGGTCATTGGGAAATGCTGAACAACATAAATAAAAATACAGCGGACCATAGATAACATTGCTTTATGCTGTTCTAAGTTCATATGCTGCCCTGAATTTGACACCACAACTGTAGAGCATACTTTGAATACATCAACTTAGCCCTTGTAGTTGTTGTCTGTCTAAGGGTGTGCTGTAGTGGCAAGAGTGTACATGACCCCTATAAATTACCCGTAATGCAGAGCCCAATTATCTGGAAGCACACCAGCTCCCTCTGTTGTCATGCTGTCGGGGATCTCTGACTGTGAGACCAGTAATTCCACAGTAAGGACTATGTATGACAGCCCATTCCAGACTTCTGGTATACACATTCATTCTTACCATAAATTCCAGCAAGAATTGTCTTTGTCACTGATCTATGCCATAGAGGGAACCAGAGCATCCCTCCTTTTGGTCCTACTGTTAGGTAATTATTTTACTACTTCTGGACCCACTTTTCAGTAAATACTTTTTCTGCTTTTTAAAATAGTAAGATAGTTTTGCAACATTGGTGAGTGCGTGATGTCATCAGTTTCAGAAATACTTCCACTGATCTATATTGAATTCCCCCATCTTACCCTACAATTACTCTCTCCATTTCCTTATAAATACTCCATATCGGGCCTGTACAACATTCTAGAGCCTTTCTTTTGTTGTTTTAGTAATAATAGCTTACATTTGTATACCATTTTATCATCTACAGAGCACTTTGCTCACAACAAACCTGTGAGGTAGGCAAATAATAATCCATCCCATTTTATAGATGCAGTTACCAAGGCTTAGTTATGTTACATGAATTACTCTGGCTGCTCATCTATGGTTTCTTATTCTTCCTAAGTGACCAGCCCACATCCTTTTCCAAGCATATGGGACCTCAAAAACATTTTATTCTGCTGCTGTCACACAAATTGTCGTTGGTAACATGCTGCAGCCTACTTACACACCCACCATGCAAATTTCCATTGCCCTTTCAGTTGTTTATAATTTGAATTATTCTGAGATTGTGGAGTTCCATGACTCATAGCCATGAAGAATCCTACCCTCAGTAGAGAGGAGAGAGAGACAGAGAAAGAGAGGCAGAGACAGAGAGAGAAAATGGTGCAGTAGAAAGTGTGAGGAATATAACATTACGGGAGACCTAGGTTCAAACAGGAGATCTGACCCTGATTAGCTGTGGACCCTAAACAAGTCATTTCACTTCTGAACCCCAATTCTGTGTGTGTGTGTGTATCTTTAGTATCCTCTACTTTCTACCTCATAGTCACTTCAAGAAAAGTGCTTAAATCCTAAAATACTAAATAAATAGGAAAACCTTTACTTTTCACTAGACAATTCCTTTGTTTGAATTTTATAGAAGTTATCACTTGTAACATTTGTGTAGAGCTATGAAAAAAAAACCTCCTTTACCACCTTTTGATGTTAGTAATCTATATGTTATTATTAAACAAAATTACTTCTGTAATTATATCTCTCATTTTTTGATAATCCGTACTTGAGAGACTTTGAAGAGAGCTTTCAAGGCTGAATTTTCCTCTACCAAGTTAATAATTTTATTAAAATTGATCAGTGCAGCTACATCTTAAATCCTTTGTACCCCATTCAGTTACATAACAAAAAAAAATTATGGTGTGATCTAGGAAGAATGTCTGTGAAAGCCTGCTGATTGCTTTTCATCAGGGCCCCTTCATATCTGCATAGACCATTGTCACATCAAGTGGGATAGGGAACAAAAAGAGATTAAACAGAGTTATTGACTGTTGCTACCATATATTCACTGATGACTTAAATGTGTGCATTTCTTTTGAAAAATGTCTGTGATTGTAGCATTCAAGTTAATGAGGAACTAGAACAACCAGAACCTCCTAATGTTTCCCATTGACTCTTAAGTTACCAGTGGTACTCCAGCCAACCAATCATCAAGGATTTGTTAAGTACCTGCTATGTACTGTGCTAGATTTGGGAGACACAAAGACAAAATTGAAACTGCTTGTGTTTTATCAAGAGAAACAACACGTGGATTGCTCCTTGATAACAAGGATTATCTGGCCTTTTCTGTTAGTGCCCCCAGTGCTTGGCCATAGTCAGTACTTAATAAGTGCTTGTTCATTCATTCACTTCCTTCAGGTATATACAAAACAAATGTAATTTAGGGGGAAGGTAACAGCACCCAGGGAAGGAGGGGAATAGAACAGTTCTCCTGTAGGAGGTGGCATTTGAGTTGAGCTTTGAAGGCAGTTAGGATTGCGAGAGGTAGGGCTCAAGAGGGAGTGTGTCAGTCATGGAGATGGGGGGTGGAATGTTGGGTGTAGGGAACAAACAGTAAGCCATCCAGTGGAGTGTGAAAGGGGCATGTGGTAAGCCTAGAGATGTCATTTGGAACCAGGTTATAAAGGGCTCTAAATGCCAAACTAGAATTCTTATTTTATCCTGAAGGTAATGGGGGCCACTGGAGGTTACTGAGCCAGGGAATAAGATGGTCAGGCTTATGCTTTAGGAATACAGGCTTGCCAGCTGTGTGGAGGATAGATTTGAGAGGGGAGAGACCAAGAAGGAGGCCATTGCAATAGGCCAGGCAAGAGGTGATGAGACCCTAAAACAGAGTGGTCACTATATGAGAGGAGAGTAGCAGAGTTTGAAATATGTAATAAGGGTTGGTAATATGTGAGTGGAACCCAGGACAGAGATTAGCATTGGACAGATAGAGTTAGAAGTCACTTGTGTAGGATTGATAATTGAACCCATGGGAGCTTATCAGGTCACCAGCAGAATGTAGAGAGAGAAGAGACGTGGGCACAGGAGAAAGCCTTGTGTGACTTCCGAAGTGGAGTGGTAGGGTATGGATCATGAATCAGCAGGAGAGACTAATGATCAGACAGGTACAAGGAAAAGCAGGAGAGAAGGGCATCCGGGAGGAAAGACTGGGCAGGAACATCACTGATAACTTTGGAAGGAGCCATTTCATTGAGTGGTGAGGTCAGAAAAGTGAGTGAAAGAACAGGAGGAGACCCAAGTATAGATGGCTTTTTCAAGGTGCTTGGCAAAGAAAAGGAAGGAAAATATGGGACAGTGGGGGAGGGAGGAGAAGGAGAACTCTGGAAGGGTGGAGGAGACTGAGCTGTTTTTTTCAGGTCTCATCTTCAAAGTGCTTTTATAGACGTCTTATTTGAGCTTCTCAATGACCCTTTGAGAAATTTAAGACTGACGAGGTGAAAACTGGGGCTTAGAGATGCCCTGTGATTTGCTGAAGGTCACATAGCTTCTAAAGGACAGAATCAGAACTAGAATACTTACCGGCTTATTCGACATCTGGAGAAGGCTACTATGGAAAGCTACTTAAGATTTTATTTTTTTTCTGGGCCCTTTTCTAGAATCCAAGATGTCCCCAAAGTGTTAATGCTGTTTTAATGAGCTTTAATAGCTCCACTGCCATACCACCCTGATGAATGCCTCTGATCTCATGTGATCTCAGAAGCTAAGAAATGTTGAGCCTGCTTAGGATTTGGTTGGAAGACCATCTGGAAATACTGGGTGCTGTAAAAATTGGGGCTTAGTGTATAAAGCTCTGGGCCTGGAATCGGGAAGACCTGAGTTCAAATCTGGCCTCAGACACTTAATAACAGTGTGACCCTGGGAAAGTCACATAATGTCTGTTTGCCTTAATTTACTGGAGAAGGAAATAGCAAACCACTCCAGTATCTTTGCCAAGAAAACCTCATGGTCAGTATTGGTGTGCTATGGTCCACAGGGTCCCAAAGAGTCAAACACAACTGAATGACTGAACAACACCAAGAAGTAGCTTTAAATTTTGGGATGGCCTATGTTTAAATGAACATTACTCAGGATCCCATTTCTAGCTAGTTGGCAGGGTGTATATGACAATATAAAACTTCCCAAGAACATCCAACCAATTCAACATAACACACATTAAGTGTCTACAAGATACGATGTTAGTTTTTTGTGATGCAGAGACAAAAACGAAGCCAGCCTCAGCCTTACAGAGCTTATGTTTTATGGAGGAATTAGAGGTGAAGGAGAGGGAGCGGGAATACAATCTGTCCCCAGAACACACTCGGATAAATAAATACAAGGCAACTCGAAGGAAGAAACCGTAACCATTCCCTAGGAGTGGGAGACTTCATTGAATAGGCACATGAGAATTTGAGAATCACCGAAGACAACTGACTGGTGAGCAAATGTCCATCTAAGAACCCAAAAGACTTCTCCCCCACCCCTCGCCCCCCACTCCCCCGGATAAGCAACTGAAATAAAGCCTCCTGGTCACTGAACCAGTATTAGGTAAAGTTTAGTGGTCTTAATATAATTGCACATGTACTAAAGGGAATAAAATGTTACTTAAAACTAGTTGCTTTAAGCATAAAGAAAAAGAAAAAAATCAAAATTGGGATAGGAATTTATGGAGGATAAACCTTCAGAAAGGCAAGATTCAGAGATTTGATAAGTTGGGGCCTGCTTTTATAAACTGCTTACAAATTAATGGTGAAATGTTTCCATTCCAGCAGCTCCTGAAGAGTCAACAGAGGAGACCACAAAGACTCAGGAGTGCAGGTACTCAGAAGAAACAGTTCAGAGTCCCACAGAGACAGGTGAGCTACTTTGGTCTTTTTAGACAATTGCCCTGAGATGGGCAATGAAAACTGTAATTAGTACAAGTATTTTTGAAACCAGAAGTACTTTTCAAGAATATTTCAGGATAGATAGATTAACTGCTTTTCTTCTCTTCAAAAAGGAAGACTCACAGTGATGGAAAATGTGTTCATTTTCAGATAATCATAATAGATAAGTAATTAAATGATGTTTACCCTTTGACCCATTGATGTCACTAATTGGCATACACCCCATGAGGGTTAAAAGATAAGAGGGAATGGCCATGTATATACAAAAGTATTTATAGTAGCACTTTCTGGAAACAAAGTAAATCTTCATTTTCCATCACCATGACAACTTTGGAAACAAGTTACATGATAAATGATAGCTGAAACTGATTGACTGATCACACATCATTTTCTGATCACAATCAGATACAGTCTCTGAGCCTCTGGGATGCCACTCAGAAGAAAAGAATGACCCCAACCTTGGCAACTCTTGCAAAGTTCCAGAAGAATCTTCTCCAGAGGAAAAATGTCAGGAGCAGGACCCTTCAGAGCAGCCTAGCCTGGAGGGAGCTGCCCATGCAGAGGGCACACATGATGAGCCTCAGGCCCAGGCTGAACCCACAGGGCCGCTTATTCATGAAGAAACTTTGACTCGGGGCTCCACTTTCCAAGAAACTGATGACAGTGACGATGAACCGGTCCTAATCCCAGGTGCAAGATATCGAACAGGACCAGGGCATAGGTCAGTAAGCGCTTCAGTTTTGTTTATAATGCGTATCACTCATAGGCCATTGTTTGAAACAAGATAGATCTTCTAAGATTGTTGCAGAAGAGAGGCCTAAACTTTTGGACACTTGACTTGCTTTTCCCAAGAGCGTACAGATGGCCTGATTAACAAATATGTTCATATTCTTTTTAAAACTAAAAATGATTTACATACCGTATTCTTTGAGGAAACATCTTTAAGAGGTGAGTAGAATTTTCTCATTGATGCAGAACTCTAACAATGAGCCTGGGTCTAAATTTAGAGAGGCAGGAAGCCAAAGGTAGACTGTGGCAGAGGGTTGGCTATTAAGAACACCAAGTTTATATTTAGCTCACAAGTTACACATGGAGTAGCCAGCTTTGTAGAAAACATCTGTCACCACATTTATACCACTCCTGTAGTGACTATTAATTGAGGAGGCTTGGATGTATTTTTCTGTTTGAGTAGCAGTATTTTTATCTCTAGTTCCTGCTGAACCCAGTGGCTCAATTTAGAAGCAGGGGAAACAGTGCTCATTAACTGAAACCTTGTAAAGAAGGAATGAAATTACTGCAGTCCCTTTTCACAGCTCCTCACCTGCTAATTTAATGGGATCGGAAGGTTAAGTTTTTGAAAGAACTTGTTTTGTTCTCATTCTGTATTTGATAGACCATTTGAATTTGTCATTATCTTGCTCATCTGGAAAAAGTTTCTGCAGATAACACCATTCAAGCCAACGTTTCTCTCCCCTTTCTTTCTCACAGAACCATGTTTTATCTTTCAGGTTGTAGTTTAGCAGCAGTGAAATTTCATTTCATCGTTTCAAATGTCTAGGAGGAGCCTCCTGTTGAGCAAAATATTTAGACTCTTAACTCAACATGTAATGAAAAAAGTGAGCTGTCATTGAGCTCTTAATCCATTTCATCTTACTACTTAGTAGACATCTTGAGGCTCCAGAATGGAAGAGCCGTGGAAACAAGTTAGGGCAGAGGCACCATGAACCCAAGTTCCAGATGACATCCTACAGTATTTACCTTGGAGATTCCTAAGAGGAAAAGAATTCTGGCTTCCCTTTAGTCACGGTAGGATAAGGTCCGGCTGGAGAGAGCATCACATTTTTTCATACAAAGCAAGTTCTCTTTCCCCATGGTCAGGCCTAGGCAGATTACTCATCATCTTGTCTTCTTATAGCCTCTCACTGGCTCTTAGCACCCACATTGCCACTCTTGTAGAGAAACAGCAGTTACCTTTTCTTTTCATATTTAGGCCTTTCTTAAAACCTATTTGCCATCAGAGGAGGTTCTGAGGTACAAAGACTAAAACTGAAATTCATTTTTTTAAGAAAAATTGACGGTTTCTAAAGACCAAGTTAGAGAAACAGATTCTATAATATGATTAATTTAAGTAAAATAGAAAATCAGGCAGTCAGAGAGGTCATCTAATAATAGCATCAAATCTTTAGATCTTAGCGTGGAAATATGTCTTAAGGACCATTGTGTCCAGCCCTCTCATTTTACAGGTGAGGAAACAGGCCCCAAGAGGTTAAGTGACTTACCTGAGGTTGCACAGAAAACAGGTCTTTGGGTTCCTAGCCCACCATTCTTTTGACCACACTTAACTGCTTCTGTATATATCACATAGTTTTCATTTATCAAATGGTCATTGATACCGATGGCCAAGGACTGATAATAAGATTATGGCAAAAACAGAATTTAAATATGGCATTTATGGTAGAATGTGGTATATATCTACTAAGATTTTGGGTTTTTTTAATAAGTGTCTTCCTGACAGGTAAAAGTCATAGAATCGTGGAACTTTAAAGCTAGAAGGGACCATGGAGACCATGTAATCCAACACCCACATTTTAAAGAAACAGTCCCAGAGAGATCAGACTTTTCCATGTTTACGCAGCAAGTGTGTATATGTGTGTATACACACAAGTATATATACACATGTATACTCACATATACATATATCTATGTATATGTATACATACTTGTATGTAAATGTTTGTATGTATGTATATATTAGAAAAGACAAAGCCAAGGGCTGAAATATCCAGATCTTCTGACTCTCAAACCTCTGCTTGCAAAAAATCACATTTTAATATCTTGCTAGAACTTCTAACACTTAGGCTAAGTCAGGTCTTCTTATTTTTGTAGATGGGGATGTTTAGGCACTAAGAAGTTACATGATTTGCTCAGCACTGTGTGGCCAGTAAATACTGATCTCTTAATATTGGAGTCGGACATCTAAAAGTAGTCTGGTGAGGCTGCCATGGTAGTCAGACCTGGGTGCTAGTCTCGCCTCTTGCCCCTTCCCAACACGTCCCCTGAGCTTTTAAGCTTCCAGCTAGGTGCCAAGTGTGTGGGGAGAACTTCTACCCTCCCTCACTGCTGAGAGCAAGATTATTTCTCTCATATTAATAACCAGTTACTGAATTGGAACTAAGGTTTTTCCCTTTTCCACTTCCGCATTCAGAAATCAGCCCCCATAAGTTGTTCAGACAGCTTTGGAAATGCCGGGCTGATAATGAGAGGGAAAACTCAGAGCTGTTCAAAAGGTAAGGAAATTTTAGTTTAGGTGAATTGATGGGTTGTGGCCCATTGTGTTACTCAGATAGGCCTGGGCAAAAGTGGATTACCCTTTTGTCTAGATTACCCTAAGGAGGGTGTTATGAGTATAGATTAGTCTCTTTGACCAAAACTGAGTGATCAGAGTCAAGTTCCCCCAGACTCTCATTAGAATAAGCCCACCCCTCATTACAATATTCATTCTTATTATTTGTTGACCAGAGTTGATTGCCACCCTCAGGAACACCCATTCTTCCAAGGGCAGATAAGCATTGAGTGGATTCCATAAGGGGTCTTTGGCATTTGAGGGTGTCACTGACCCCTTTTATTAATTATTGCTAGCATGAAGCTTTTTATATGTCACATTGCCATACCAGTGAAATCCTCTCCAAAAAATAATTAAGAGCTTAGCGCCTCATTTTTGCATGCTGTAAAGCTATTTAGATTACATGTGAGTACCAAGCAGCTCCAGGAAATTCTCTTCTTCCATTTATCATTCATGTTCAAGCCTTCCCTTGGGGGTTCAGGACTAATCTAAGGAAAACTCAATGTGTATAACACCTCTAGTCTGGGGCACCTAGGCCCCTCTCCAGAAAGGCACATCAATATTGGACAGTCCATTATTGCTGTGATTCTCTAGACTGGGGACAATTTTGGATTATTCCATGCTTGAGCAGACTCACCTCATTTCTCAATTCATGTACAAGTGCTGGGATAGATTCAAGGCTGACCTAGAATTTAGCCAGTCCCTGAAGGTGGGGAATTGCCTTTCTGATTGATCTTTGGTATCAGGTCACCCTCTCAGTTTAAGGCTCCAAAACTATATTGCTTACATAAGAGAATGGTAGATAATAAATAGGAAAAACAGCAAAACTCTCAAAAAACTTACAAATTAATGGAAGAATACAGGACAAATAAATGTAAAATACATTTTAGATATATGCAACATAAACTTAAAAAAACAGAAGAAACTAGTCATAGCTGTACACATATATGAGGTGATGGAATGATTGGTACAACCATGAGACACTGCTTCTTTTATAATAAAATTTAAGTTTTCCTCTGAGTTACACAATTCATTACTATCAACTGAGCCAAAATTTATAAAAGCAGACTTGGATTCAGACATTAGACAAGCAGTTTCTTTTTAAGACTAAATATAAGCCTTAGCTTCTAAACTATGTTAAAACCTGTTCAACTAGAATATTTCTTTCATAAGGTCCATAATATTGTCCTAATGGGTATTTCTTTCAGTGATGCAACTTGTAAGCTTTCCACTAGGGGCAAAAAAAAAAAATACTAACGTTATGGTGAAATATCCTTCTTCTGATAATTTCCATCAGAAGCAGTTTTTGTAGTTCTCCCCTTTCCCAAAACCACTTGTTATAAATATGAATTACCTACATACTCAAGCACTTTCTGATATGTATATCTTCCAGCTATAAGTCTTTGTTCCAGAGAAACCCAGTGAGTCAGCTTCCTTTCAAAATTAATAGGAACAGGTGTCTTAAATTCTGCCTTGAAGGGAGAAAAAGCAAGAAAACACCTTCCTAAGTTTATATTCAGTTTGAGAATCTTCAAGGGTTTCTATTTCCAAGGAGAGAAGATTCCAAAGCTATTCTTTGAGAAGCTCCCACTCCCATAATTTAATTTGGCAGACTTCAAGACACCCTCTCCAAGGTATAACTTTCCAGATTTGGATGAAAAATCACAGTAAAAGCACATGAGTCTTACAGCTTCCTCCCAGCACCCTGCAAGAGATAGAATCCAGAGATTGATTTGGAATTCAGAATGCTTTAGGTCCATAAGGAATAAGATGTATGCTTTGATAAACATGAACAATTACCCACCGCTACATATTTCTGTTCTGTAAGCTTCTATTTCTAAGTGACTATGGAAATATCCCAGCTTTTTTGAGGCCTCTTCACATTACTTAGAACAAAGCCATTTTTTCACAACAAAATTTTGCACCAGTTTTGTATGTGTGCCATCAAGACTAGGACAGCCACTTAAAGTGTAAAGTAAGATTCAAATTTTCATTCTTTCAAATTGATTAGGAAAATGTGATCTAGATTTTTTTTCTGAGATCAAGCATGAGAAGAAAATGTTTTAGAAAAAAGGCTTTAACAACTAACATAGAGATTTTAAATGGAATGCTCCCATTAACTCTAAAAATATGTCCCTGAAACTCTCTACAGTAAATTAAATAAATCTTAGAGAATAACTTTGTTATGCACTCTAGTGAAATACCTCACTCACTTGTTGGAAATCCAAATGTTAAAATGTTGATTCAGCATTTGGTCTCTCATAAGTCTGTCCATGGAAGGGACCTCATAAGTGGAAAATAAAAAAGGAATAAGTAAACAACATCAAAAAGAGAAATATAAACCATTACAAAAAGATACCGTATCTTTAAAGTTTCTT